GGTTCGATAATGGCCGTAGATGTACGGTATAGAGTGAAATTTTCGGACTTATTAGGTGACGGTCCACTGAGCCTACTAGGCTAGAGTGTAGACCTAGAGATAGGCCGTGACTTGGAACACTCCATATACATTGTGTGAACTTGATTGATTGAATATCACTTCCAACAACGCTGTGTTTCAACATATATCATCCAAAGAATCGTAGGTCTGATGCATAAGGTTGGCCGTACGATTGTAGCTTGCATGATTGAATATCCACCGTAGGATGTGCAAAAGGTAAGCCGTAGGATTGAGTCCATTGTTCATGGGTTCTTTTGTGGTGTGTACTTCGGTGTAGCTGTTCGATGGGTTGTTAGGCAACGTCGAATAGGGACCGTCGATTTATCGATTGAAACACCCAGGGTAATAGCTAGGCTTGAGCTCGGGTATAAGACTTAGACTGATGTAGCAAAAGAACCACACTCATTCCTAGTAGTTATGCACTTGAAAGGGCTTGCTTTCAACAGGTTATGGGCCCATAACGCTAGAGAGTGAGGGGAGAGTAGTAAGCCGTTGCTAGCAACAACAATTCTAGGTTGGTGAGAGGTATTGCAGTGGGGGCTAAAGGAGTGGAATAGCACTCCATCTTGCGACGCCTGTGAAAATATCCATAGATCACTCTCGGCACAAAGGAGTGCCCAGCCCAAGAAGCGTTGTTTTTTGCTACCGGTAACCATGGCTGAAGGACTCAAGGTTCACATAGAGCCTTTAGATGTTGACAACTATACGTTGTGGTCACAGAGGATGCAACTTCTCCTGACACACAAGAAGTTGTGGAAAGGGGAACGGACCCGGCCGGTGATGCAGAGAGGACCGAGGAAGCCAAAGCTTTGATAGGTTTGCACGTCTGGCAACAACACCTTGGGGCAATCTTAAACGCTGAGAATGCCAAGGTAGCGTGGGATGCGCGGGAAACGATCTAAAGGAGCAAAAGTGCGGCTCGGAAGTTGCAACTCCCATCCTCAAGATGCAACCCGGTGAGTCCGTTGCCACGTATGTGGGTTGAGCCCAAGACCTTTACCGGAATTTGCTAGCCGCCGGCTCGGACATGACGCCGGATGATCTATCCTTTAGCGTGCTTGCCGGGGTGTCAAGCCGGTTTGAGGGGGTAGTAACGGTGTTGACTACCACCAAGGAGGAGCTCGGCAAGGTGGAAGAGCTTCTTCCGACGTTGAAAGTGTTTGAGCAAAGGCATGGGCTTCTTGGGGAGCAAGATAGCGGGGGCTCGGGCTCGGCGGTGGCCTACTCGGACAAGGGTGGCAACTTTGCCGGCAAGGGCAAAGGTGGCCCGGAAAGACTTTTATGGCTTGCCACAAGTGTGGTAAGTTGGGGCACTTTGAGAGAGAGTGCCAGTCCGGGTCTCGTGAGCCGGAGAAGCCCAAGTCGAGAACTAACTGCTACATATGCGGTAGCCTGGACCACTTCAAGAGGGAGTGCCCAAAGAAAGGGGCCGGCAAGGGGTTGCCTTTGTAGCCGGAGAAGGGGCGGAAACCGGAAGGTGGATTGTTGACACGGGGGCTAGCCAACACATGACGGGGGTCAAGAGCTCATCTCAACGTTGGAGATGCTTGAGCCGGGGAGTCGTGCAATCAAGTTTGGGAACAAGGGGTTCCTTGAAGTAGCCGGGGTGGGCTCGGTGGAGTTGCGATGCGAGACGCCGAAAGGTGAGCAAGTCAACCTTTTCCGTGAGGTTGCCTATGTTCCCGGTGTGGCGGAGAACCTCTTTTCCGTCAAGAAAGCCACCTCGGTAGGAGCCGAGGTTGTGTTCCGTGGAAAAGTGTGCGAGGTTTCCATGGATGGAGAGGTTGTGTTTCGGGCGGAGGAGAATGCGGAGGGCAATGCCCGTTGTTTGTCAACCGAAGACAACGTAGGAAGATACTTGCTTGCTCGTGAGGGAAGTTGAAAGCCCGGTGTTGGGGCACGCCGGGTACGAAAGCCTAGCCAAGATGGTTGAGGGAGACGCGGTCCGGAGGTGTAGGAGTCAAAGCGAAGGCATTCTGGAGCAGAAGAACCTCGGTGTGTGAGCCTTGCATCATCGGAAAGCAAACCCGTGAGCCCTTCCCTAAGGAGTCGGACTCCAAGGATAGCAGAGAACCCCTAGAGCTCGTGCACATGGACGTGTGCGGGCCTATGCCGGTGACGTCAAAGGGGGGGAGTAGGTACTTGGCCTCTTTCCTTCACGACTAGCAAGCTTTTGGTGGTGCAACCGATGAAGGGGAAGAGCGACGTCACGGCGGAGAGCGTGTTTGCCCGCTTGGAGTTGCAATCCGGGAAGAAGGTCAAGGGGGTGCAAACGGACCGGGGCGGGGAGTACGTCAACGAGGGAATGACGGCCAGAGAAGAGAGGGACGGTGCACCGCACCACGGCGGGGCACTCTCCCGAACAAAACGGTTCGGCGGAGCAGTTGAACCGGACGCTCGAGGAAGGAGCGCGGGCTTTGTTAAAGGACGCCGGGTTGAGGCCGGAGTTGTGGGCGGGAGCGATGGTCACGGCCAAATACACCCGGAATCGGGTTCCTTCGAGCGTGCACGGCACGACGCCCTGGGAGATGTTTTATAGGGGAAGTCAAACCTTAGCCACTTGCGGGTGTTTGGGGCGCGTGCCTACATCCACGTGCCTAAGGGCAACCGGAAAAAGTTGGAGCCGGTGAGCGAGCGAGGGGTGTTCTTGGGGTACAAGCTCAACTCCAAGTCCTTCCGGGTTCTCCGAGAGCGGGACGGTAGGATTTTGACTTCCCGCGATGTCATCGTGGATGAGCGCGGGCCCTCCGTGATCGTTGAGCTTGGCTCCGATCCGGGGAAGGAGGAGGGGGGTGCTCGCGGTCACCCTAGTCGTGTGAGCACCCCGACTCGGATCGGTGCCGACACTCAGCCCGGTGTAGGGGCTACTCCGACGGAAGAGGCCGACACCGTGAGCGAGGATCCCGTTGAGGAAGACGGCGCTCAAGAGCAGACGGCAAGAAGATACCTTGCACGCGGGTGCCCGCGAGTGGTACCGAGCGAGTCTAGCGGCGGAAACGGGGGAGCATCTCAACGGGTCGGGGAGCATCCGGAGCCGCAAACGTATCAAGAAGCCGTCGGGGAAGAAGAGAGCGAGCTTTGGCGGAACTCCATGGACGAGGAGATGCGGTCCTTGTTGGAGAAGGGGACGTGGGAGCTTGTCGGAAAACCGGAAGGGGTGAAGCCGGTTCCCATGAAGTGGGTTTACACGATTGAGCGAAATGCGCTTGGGAACGTGGAGCGGTACAAGCCGCGACTTGTGGCGAAGGGGTACTTGCAAAAGCAAGGGATAGACTTTGAGGAGGTCTATGGCCCCGTGAGCAAGCACAGCACGTCGTGAACGCTCCTAGCGGTAGTCGCGGAGCGCGACTTGGAGCTTCACCAAATGGACGTCAAGATTGCGTTTCTCAACGGGGAGCTCGAGGAGGAGATCTACATGCAACAACCGCAAGGGTACGAGCAAGGCGGGCTCAACGTGGTTTGCCACCTCAAGCGCACCTTGTACGGATTGCGCCAAGCGCCGCGTGCAAGGCACACGCGCTTGAAGGAGGAGCTCGGGAACTTTGAGATCGTGGCGTCCTTAACTGACACGGCGCTCTTTTTGGGAGTGGTGGACGGGGAGCGGGCTTACCTCATTGTGTGGGTGGACGACATTCTCGTCGCGGCCCGGGGGGCGGAGCGGATTGCAAAGGTGAAGGCGCACTTGGCGGAAAAGTTCAACGTGCGCGACTTGGGGGAGGCGACCTACTTCCTTGGGATGGAAGTGGCGCGCGACCGGGAGGCGCGCACTTTGAAGCTCACGCAAAAGAAGCTTGCGGGGGAGCTTTTTGGGTGGCACGGATTGGCGGGCGCACGGGCGCGCTCGGTCCTCCTCGGCGCGGGGGAGAAGTGTTGAAAGCAAGCGCTTTGGAGCGCGTTTCAAGTCAAAGCACAACTACTAGGAATGAGTGACCAATACAAGTCAATGGTCCAAGTCATAAATCCGTGGCTAGGTCTACCTGGTCGAGTTCAACTCTATCTCTATGTGAGTCAACTCAAACATCAACGTCCTAGCCTCCAAGATTCCACAAAGATGCTAATCTAACGGTCCACACTGGCCTAGGGGGTAACTACCACTAATGGGGGCAACTGCCAGTGGGTACCTGCCAGTGGGGGTAAATGCCAGGGGGTAATTGCCAGTGGGGTAATTGCCAGGGGGTTATTACCACTCTATCATCCTCAATGAAACGGCTACGAAATCATCTAGGATCTTAGGGCGCACTCACACAATAGTAGTACTACCTAAATTCAACAAGAAGTTGACGAGAGAGGGTGAGCCGCTCGACACGGCGAGATTCCCCCTATAGCGAGCTCATTGGAATCTCGGGGGAGACTTGGGTTGGACCTCAAAACGGTTCTAATTCATTGCGACAACCAAGGGGCAATACGGCTCCTCAAGCATCCGATCGCTTCGCAGCGATCGAAGCACATCGACGTGATTCATCACTTTGCGCGGGAGCGGGGGCGCGAAAGGAGGTCCAGTTCGCATATTGCAAAACGGAGGACATGAAGGCGGACATCTTCACCAAGGCATTGGCACCCGGAAAGTTCTTGAAATGCAAGAAGGAGATAGGAGTTGCATAGAATACCTAGTGCGTGGGGGAGTGTGAGATTTGGGCGGTACTAACCTTAAAAACGCCCCAATATCCTATAATATATCGTCCATAGAATCGTAGGTCTGATGCATAAGGTCGGCCGTACGATTGTAGCTTGCATGATTGAATATCCACGAAGATATGCGAATCGTAAGCCGTAGAATTGAGTCCAATGATCATGGGTTCTTTTGTGGTGTGTATTTCGGTGTAGCCGTTCGATGAGTTCGATCTTTCGTAGGCAACGTCGAATAGGGACCGTCGATTTATCGATTGAAACACCTAGGGTAGTATCTAGGCCCTAAACTAGGTTATAAGGCTTGGACTCATGTAGCAAAGAACCACACTCATTCCTAGTAGTTGTGCACTTGAAAGGCGCTTGCTTTTAATACACACATCCGCCGGGCGCGCGTCTTTTTGCACCACGTCGTAAATGCCACACTCGCAAACTCCTTCTGGTCCGTGTCTTGAATGTGGAGCCTTGAGTACGCCCTAATAAGCTGTAATATATCGTCCATAGAATCGTTGATTTGATGCATAAGGTCGGCCGTACGATTGTGAGCTTGCATGATTGAATATATACCATGGGATGTGCGGAACGTAAGCCGTAGGATTGAGTCCATTGTACATGGGTTCTTTTGTGATGTGTATTTCGGTGTAGCCTTCTTATATACTCTCTTGTAGGCAACGTGGACACAAATCGTTGGAATAAACGAGAATGGATTCGAATAGGGACCGTCGATTTGTCGATTGAAACACCTAGGATGATAGCTATGCTTGAGCTAGGCTGTAAGACTTGGACTCATGTATCAAAAGAATCACACTCAATTCTAGTAGTTGTGGACTTGAACGGCGCTTGCTTTCGACACCGGGCAGTTCTCACTGCCGCTCTCTGCACCACCCCGTGATGAAATCATACACACATGCTTGCAATAACGTAGGGTCTAACCACCTTTTCCTTGCAAGCGCCTTCACAAAGGAGGCGCCCTTCTTCGACAAGCATCTCTTCGTACGAGTTACCATCACAATACAAGCGTATAAGTCATACTAGTCGAGCCTACAATCAGCCCTGTAATGTGTAACATCGATAATCAACGGTCGTCACTCGATCGTCACTCCACAAAGTGCTCATCCAACGGCTGAATTCGTACCATATTTCCAGTGTAAAAGCTCCGTGATCGACGGCTCACACTGAGTAACAACTCAAGATCGTACGGTCTCAACTAGCTTAGCTGAACTAGCTAGTAACCACGGCGAAACTCAACAATTTTCGGCGCCTAACCAACCTCAAATTCCAACACCGGGGGCTTCCTACACACCGAGCTTATGTGGCCCCTCTCCCCATAGTTGAAGCATTAAGTTGCGTTCCGCTTCCGGCAATGGGCCCGGATGTGGCCTTTTTCTGAGCCGCAAGCATAGCGCGTTGGGACCACCTTCACGCCTCACCCTTATGTGAAACCTCCCCGCTCAATTGACCCCTTGGTACGGGTCTCATACCGTTTCCGCTTGGCAACAGACGCCTTCTTCATACGCTCCTCCTCCTCCTCCTTCGGAGCTCTTAGCTCCCCTTCCAACTTCAACTATTGCTCCTTCTGCATGAGCTTAGGCTGAATTGTGTCCAACGGTAACTCCTGCTCACCTCGCTCCACGATCTCAACCAGGGTTGCATACTCCTTTGGCACACCATTCGAGGCATGGATGGCCAGCTCTACTTCGGAAACGGTTGACCCGCGGTCTCCGAATCCTCCTTAAGTTTGCGGAACTCTTTCACGTACTTTGCAATGCTCTTCTCCCGAGTCAATATCGAGCTTATGAACTTCTTCGTAAGTTGGATAATCCTTGTGTCGCTTGTCTTCTCAAAAATCTCCTCAAGCTTCTTCCAAGCTTTGGCCCAATGAACCACTTTACATAGGAAATTTTGCACAACGCAACCACCCCATTTTCAGATCGAAGGCGTTTGAAACCAGGCTCCCTCATGGACTGTTATATTCCGAATCGCGGAGTCTTGGAGCCCTCGACGGTCCGAGTAAACACCCAAATTTCGATGGCTGAAAGTTCAATTTTCAACAAGTCAGTGAAAGTGTCCGCCGCGGATCGAAACTCACGGTCAAATTCACTCTTAAAATTTGTATAAGCAAAATTCTTCACCGCGACGGATTCTGATCCCCTCCTGTGAATTTATTGAAAACTTTTGAGGATGTTAGACTGCTCGTGATAAGGCTAAATACCAATTTTCAGCTCCAAATTATATGCAGAAGTGCCTAGTTCAGGTCATATCTTAAAACCCCTAAAAATCGCCATTTTGGACCAGTCCGAGTCTACAGGGTCCAAAATTTGCCCACCACGCGGATTTCGCCATACATTAAAATCTGGCGTGGTTGCGTAACCACGCCGTGTGAGTGTGGAGGATGATCAAAGCCTTTGCCTGCGACGATGCTTCCCTCCTCCCACCGACTCCGATTGATCAATAGCAATATGTACAACCCTTTGTACTCAAGAAGCGTTCAAAACTAGCCCTTCATACCAACCAATTCTCACTCCAAGTTGCGGGAGGACAATCTTGTCAATTCCCGCCATCTCCTTTGCGGTAAAGTTTCCTTTAGCGCGAAACTCAACTTAAGGTTCACTCAAAGCTCTTTCTCTCAACCTCACAACAACCTTATCATCCTCCTTCACCTAGGAAGCGTTGTTCTGGGCCCATACCTTGTTGAGATCATATGTTCATGCTTGGAACCTACGAGGGATTCAATCACATACAAGCGCCTTCACAAAAGAAGCGCCCTAACTCTCATCAAGCATCTCTTCGAAAGGACTTCAATCACATGATAATGTTTCAAATCAAGTGTAATCCCGTGGCTAGGTCTACTTCAACGTGATCCAAGTCTACCATGCATAACCCTTCGATGCGTGGAACGGTAATCAAGGGCCTAGCTTCACTCACTCCAACCAACTACCATCGAACGGTCCATATATATTCGGTTTTCATCTCTTGCATCTACCTTTTCCGGGTTCTTAATCTCCCAAGTTCTTCTTCTTCCAAATCTGTTTGGTTCTAATTGGTCAACTACTTGGGCTATTTGATTTTGATTTGCCAGCTGCTTGCGCTATTTGGTCTTCATCTGCCAAGCACACAATCCCTTTCATCTTATTGGATCAACCACTCAACTTCTTTTATCTTAATCTGCCAAGCATTTAGCTTTTTATCTTAACATATCAAGCACTCAATCCTTTCATCTTAATCTGTCAAGACATCCATCTCTTTGATCTTCCTCTTACAAGTACCAATTGTCCTTGCTCTAATTTCAACAATTTGGCCGTCAATCTATCTTAATTTCAACAGAGCGTTGAGAGCCGTTTCTGTCGGCAGTGCTACCAATAAATTTTGAGAATTTGAGAGAAAGGAAGTCTCCGGTTGGATTAGAGGATGGTGGTATAGACGCAAAGCTGACATGGCATTCAATTTGAATTGATTATGGACTCAAAGAAAAGCCATTAAGACATTGTGAGTTTTCGAGGCAACTTTCAGATGCGACCTGCGTTGACTACTTTAAACAATCGCAACGAGTATCGGTGCGTCACACACTATTTGGTGAGTTTTGTCGTGTTTGTTAAATTTGAAGAAGACTTACGAGTATATTGAGGGCTGACCGATTCGTTTGGCCACTGATGTTGAAGGCGGCCCCTCCAGTGGAAGCGCAAATCACGACAGCTCGTCCATCTTCAAACTCTGCCAGGGCCCGGGTGCGCGCGCTCCTGGAACTCGTGTAGACGTTTGATGAGGAAAGATTTTCCCACGCCAGCACAACCAGTGATAAACATATGATGAAGCGTATGTTCGGATTTGGACATGCATGCAGGAGGATTGCTTTCATGGATCAAAAGAATTGAGACAATTACGAGATTGCTGTCGGGCTGCAACTCCTTGGCTTTGAGGTGCGTAAGATGTCACCTGTAAAATTGTCGGGACTTGTTGAAAGCCAGTGAAGTTTGATAGCAACGGGCTTTGATTAAGTTGGAATTTCAAAGAGCTTGTCACCGGGATTATATGTTTTCAAATATCAAAGATGGGAGCCCCGGAAGCGCATCAAAGAAGCCCTTTCACAATATGCAGCCGAGCAGCCTGGGGCTTCGGACCCGTCATCTGTACCGTCCATAAAAGTTGCTAACGTCACGTTTTGACCAGATTTTCAAAAACTCTATGTGAAGTACATATGGAGGAGCTTTTTGATGGTGGGAGGCACGTTCGAATTCTGGGAATTGAGATCTGAGGAAGCCGGCAAAGTGGCAATATTGACGAGAGCAGCCGTAGGGCAGCTCGGATATCGAATCCGTCACTTGTAACATCCGCGAAAGCTGCTTACGTCACTCATCGACGATATCGTAAATTGGCAAGGTGAAGCAAGATTTCAACAGCTTTCTAATGGTGGGCGCGACGTTAAAACCTCTATAGGGTGGACCCCGACAAAGTGACGCTCTCAAAGAGAGCAACTGCGGGGCCTGGAGCGTACAACCCGTCACGTGTAAAGTCCATGGAAGCTGCTTATGTCACGACCAAACAGAGTTTCGAAACAACCAAGCTAAGAAGAACTCGATTAATTCTTAAATGGTATGCGGCACGTTTAAATTTTCAACGAACGGTGCTTTGGGAACCCCGACAATGGCACTGCCGTAGAGAGCGGCTGCGAGGCCTGGGGCGCGGAACCCGTCAGTGGTAACGTCCGCAAAAGCTGCTGAAGTCACGCTTACACAAAGTTGAAACGACCATATTGAGAAGAAATCGATAAGCTTCCTAAAGGTGGGCGGCACGTTCAAATCTCCAAAGGACGGAGCGTTGGGGAACCGAACAAAGTGACACTGTCAAAGAGAGCGGCCGCGGGGCCTTGGGCGCGGAGCCCGTCACCTGTAACGTCCGCAAAAGCTGCTAACGTGGCGTTTGAACAGAGTGTCGACTTGGCCAAGTTCAAAGGAATTCAAATATGTTGTAAATGGTGG